TCGGCGGTCGTGTATCGAACAGGAAGGACAAGTCATTCCAGAGGATGTCCGGTGGTGCAGACAGCGAAACGCCTGAATAGAGTACACGACGGGCGGCAGGGTCATCCAGATGGGACAGGATAAAATACTCGTGATATTGCGGATGTATCCGTGTAAGGAAAGCCTTCATTCGACCCGACCAGAGCGTGAAATCGTCGCCCAGTTGAAACGTCTCTGGTTCTTCCAGAGGTGGTTGGATGTGGGACATAATCAGCTTTGAAATACCAACCGATTCTCTGGCAATTTCATCGCACGTGTTCCGGTATGCTTCGCAGGAAGATCGAACGTAAAATTGACTTGATCCCACCTCTGTCACCAATGTAGCGTGGGATGTCAGGAAGTCAGCGGTATTCGACGTTCGAGAGGACGGCACACGTCAGTTCTGAAATGTGCAGATATACGGGCTGGTATTAATGAATCCACACAGTATACACAGTACACATGCGCACAGGTCGGGTGGAACAAGGAAGAAGACCGGAGTGTAGCAACAACGCACGTGTATTAACCCGAACCGAAACCGGTAGGAGAGAGGTGTACAAGGTTGGGTCAAGGTCAGTTAGGGGGGTGTACAAGCGGGATACTCTTCCCTGTCCAGGGCCCGTGGTGCCTCGTCCGTGGTACCTGTAATAGGGGAAGAGAGGGAGGGAGAGGCACATATAATGTTATATGATAGGCATACAATCAGGTACAGTCGGATTTCAACTGCGTTACAGCAACCATGCTCGAACCTGCCGGCTTTTGGAATACCGCGTCAAGGGCAGGTTAACCCAACCACTTCAAGGAATCACGGATTCACGAATTGGTAAAGGATGGAGGCTTTTGCCCAAGTTTTCCGGGTTGGCTTTGTTCTTGTCGTTCAGCGTTCGTTGACTTGAAAGGCACAAGTGAAAAAAGGGTGTTGCACTGCTCTTTGTGTTTTCAGATTAGGGCTTGCCAGTGCGGGGATTCGCATAAATAAATGTCCAGTACTATTTTGAAATGTGCTCTAGAAGGAGCGTGGACAACCGTCGGAGGAAGGCCATTCCACGCAGCCACTGGGAAAAAACAGCCTTGGGATCAACATAACGCCGCATAGTGTTTTCGGTAAACCTCAGATACCACTTGGGTCACGCGCTGGTTCTCTGTTCCTGTCCCTCAAGGAGAACGCGGATGGCTTGTTTCTTCGGCGATGTCTAATGTATTTGAACAGTACGGCTCTGCTTTTCCGGGCGAGGTCCAGAATGGTAACTTGTTTCTGTATGCCACATTAACAGACATTTGATTTACAGCGATTAAATATTTTACGGAATGTCAGCTCATCTTCTTACCTCCTGTTTCCGACTATCTGAAAAACAGTTTAAACTTCTTTTTCAGAAGATACCGAATCCTTCCAGGCAGCCTGCGGCTCATTCGACTGCGTGCTCTTTTTTGGGACGAACATCCTGTCAGCCTCGTGAACTTTCTGAACAATGATCCCATATAACTCTCATCGCAAAAAATTTCGGGAATGCTACTAGAGGGGACACACTGGATGGACAGGGACACATGTAGGTACAAAGCAAGCCCACCAAACCGGCTCGTTTGGAGTCAGAGACATCTGGCGTGAGCCAGGTTTCCTTGAGTGAGATTATGAACGGTTTTATAAGGCAAACTGACCGTTCGTTGTTGTTGCAGAAGCATTTCAACAGTTTCTACTACCTCCGAAGGTGAGGAGCCGAGAATTGTGTGACCGGGGAGGCTAGCAGACTTACCATTTGAACATCGGGTTCAAGTTCAAGGCTCAGAAGTGGCCTCTGAGGCATACTTGTTTGACTCCTCTCTTAGTGGTTTCGAGGAATGCTGTTCATTGGGGAAATTGTCTTCGCCGCGTGGAAGCTCGGATTGCTATCTAAGTTCCTGAAAGTGTTCGGATGTAGTACTGCATGTTTTTTCGCTTCCTGTGGCCATTACAGGATTTCAGATATCAAACAACGTTGGGTTTGTTTTTAAGCTCATTTTGATATTCTGTGAAAGAGAAACCGATAAGATATTCCTGACTTTGAGCGGCCGAAGTTATTTTTGAAATTATTTCTGTGGTAAGTCATCCACAATATCCTTGAGCTTTCCCCAAGTTCCTTCTCTTTTGTACAGCCCAAAACGCCTATGATGCGCGCCAGACTGACTATTGACCATATTTCATACCTTAAGCAACTCTCCTTGAACCCTGACCCCCAAAACTCGGTGTTTCCAAGGGTACTCCACAGCGTCCTGATAAAATTTTCCATTATGCCAGCAACTTGTAATTTTCATGACCATGATGCACGAAAACAATGCGGTGAGTAGATTAAATGAAAGTGAAGGATATCCCAAATGATGAAACGGGACCGCTTCAGAGACGATTTGGCTCGCCCAAGCAGAATGCCACCGGGAGATCTGGGGGTTCGTTCAGGACAAGAGATGAATGAAGAGCAGCGAACATACCAAAGCAATCAAAGTAATTCCTCTAATTAATTGGACTTAATCACTGCGCGCAAATTGAATCCAGGTCACTGAATGAACACCGTTTCACACAAAAACCATTACATACCCATATATTCAAATCTCACCCCCACCTCCCTCGAAGGATGACGACCACGATGTTCTCAGGTTCCTCAGTCGGTACCTCTGACAACAAACAGCCCGTTACTCTGCGTGCTTCTCACAATGACTGAACATGCTTCAAGCACATTTGCATGGATATTTGACATTTGTATCTAGGGTGAGACAATGCATTACCACATCAACAAAACAGTTTCGGAGAGATTTATGAGATTCAGTCCGCTAGGCAAACCCTACCGGTTATCTCGATCGTTTGGCTCTAATAGTCGGCTGAGCTCTGTTGGCTTCGCGGCTTGTACAGAACACTCAGTATTGACGGCGCTTACAGCTATATTTGTGTCGAATGCCAGGGGCTCATGAAGTGCTGATTGGGCTATTCTAGTTCGTAATGTGTTGAAATATTGGTAGATCGGGTTAGTTTATTGGTTGTTGATCAGGTGGCTGCTGATCTGTTCGACGAGCCTGGTAAGGGATTTGCAGACGTTTCGTCATCATGCGAATGGACATCATCCGTGCGCAGTTGGGTGGGTACTTCTTCCTTGTCCGCGTACGTTCATATAGCACTCGAAGGCTGGCTGTTATCTTCTGACGTGATTGGCTACTTGAAGTGTAACGAATTTAGTGAATCCACTGGTCCGTTTGTGATTTTGTTGCGTTGTGGCCTGTGTTCCTTTGTGTTGATTGGTTATCCCAACGCCTTCCAATTTTAGTAGCTTCTTCCCTCTGGCCTTGATTAGCATTGCGTTGTGGTCTGACGTTCTCAAGTTTGATTGATTGCTTCTACTGCCCTATTTCCTCCGCTGTGGCGGTTAGTGTCCCTGCTCCTGCCGGTTGATTTGGTGCTTTGGTTGGGCGCCTCCTCCAATCCGTTTGAATGTCCGTTTGAATGATGCATTCCTCCTTCACCTACGAGTTCCTCGTCTGGTTGTTTTTGCACCTCTAAGCTTTGTGGTTCTGGCGTTCGCTCGCTCTTAGTGGCTGCTAAATTAGATCGATTTCGGTGTGTTTGTTGATGGCACCTTCGGTGGAATGCCACGCATCCATAAGTTCGCGTTCTCTTTTCGTTGAAGCTAGCATTCGGGAACGTCATCAGCGAAACAAACTGTGCTCATGCCACAAGAAAATTTCATGTTGCTAGAACGAGGTGACGAATCGCACGGATAGTGATATAGTTTATCGGTATAGAGAATTTCTCCTCTAAACTCCGCCGCCTACTCGAGATAAACCGGTTTTCCTCAATGATAACACCCGTCATTACCCACTCCGGGAACGACTTCTAAAGTGTAAATGTTGTTTTGGTTACTTCTTTACTCTGCCACAAATGAAGATTAGCGCGGTAACCCAGGGTTTCACAAGGATACTGCATCGTTTGCTATGTACGTCAACAATCTAACCTGGTTTAGCACTCCGCTAGATTCACCTTCCTCCAGGTAGCAAAATCTATTAAAAACTCCGCATTGGAAAGCTGCAATGGGATATGGGTGTTTGGAACATTTTGCGGACATAGGATTTCCCATTTAACATAAGTTCCAAATGTTACCCTTGCAGAATCTCAATCATGCATCATAGTTTGGAGACCAGTTTGGGAGGCCCACACTGGAGAACGCCGTGTAGACGAGAAACGTAGGCGCCCTTGCTCAGGGCGACATCAGCGTAGGGACTCCGTCTGCTTCTACAGGGAAAAATAAAAAACGCTATTCCAACACTGAACGGCAGCAGAAATGATGAGGCCACAGGCGTTCCCCGTTGGCAAGCAGCAACTTCTGATTTTGATACCATTTCGAAACAGAAGCATGGAAACTAATGGGCGAAGCAGACCAGCCTATTTCAGTTCGGCTGAGCACCGAACGCGAAACAGCGCCCTATTCGTAATTCGCATATGTTGCCGAGGGGAGCGAGATGGTGGGGACAACGAAAGAGGTATGTTCGTAATAGGGTCCTGAATGCAAATTTCTGCATCCTTCCCACTTTATAACATTTAACTGTCTGCCGAGGTTTGTTCCCTTATAAGAGATTCCAGGATGCCACCATAACAGCACGATGTATAGTGTAAAATTCGGAACTAATTTTCCTAACAATTTACGATCTGATTCTTCATTTTGACTCCCTGCTCCTGCCGGTTGATTTGGTGCTTTGGTTGGGCGCCTCCTCCAATCCGTTTGAATGTCCGTTTGAATGATGCATTCCTCCTTCACCTACGAGTTCCTCGTCTGGTTGTTTTTGCACCTCTAAGCTTTGTGGTTCTGGCGTTCGCTCGCTCTTAGTGGCTGCTAAATTAGATCGATTTCGGTGTGTTTGTTGATGGCACCTTCGGTGGAATGCCACGCATCCATAAGTTCGCGTTCTCTTTTCGTTGAAGCTAGCATTCGGGAACGTCATCAGCGAAACAAACTGTGCTCATGCCACAAGAAAATTTCATGTTGCTAGAACGAGGTGACGAATCGCACGGATAGTGATATAGTTTATCGGTATAGAGAATTTCTCCTCTAAACTCCGCCGCCTACTCGAGATAAACCGGTTTTCCTCAATGATAACACCCGTCATTACCCACTCCGGGAACGACTTCTAAAGTGTAAATGTTGTTTTGGTTACTTCTTTACTCTGCCACAAATGAAGATTAGCGCGGTAACCCAGGGTTTCACAAGGATACTGCATCGTTTGCTATGTACGTCAACAATCTAACCTGGTTTAGCACTCCGCTAGATTCACCTTCCTCCAGGTAGCAAAATCTATTAAAAACTCCGCATTGGAAAGCTGCAATGGGATATGGGTGTTTGGAACATTTTGCGGACATAGGATTTCCCATTTAACATAAGTTCCAAATGTTACCCTTGCAGAATCTCAATCATTTGATGGCACGGTGGAATGCCACGCATCCATAAGTTCGCGTTCTCTTTTCGTTGAAGCTAGCATTCGGGAACGTCATCAGCGAAACAAACTGTGCTCATGCCACAAGAAAATTTCATGTTGCTAGAACGAGGTGACGAATCGCACGGATAGTGATATAGTTTATCGGTATAGAGAATTTCTCCTCTAAACTCCGCCGCCTACTCGAGATAAACCGGTTTTCCTCAATGATAACACCCGTCATTACCCACTCCGGGAACGACTTCTAAAGTGTAAATGTTGTTTGGGTTACTTCTTTACTCTGCCACAAATGAAGATTAGCGCGGTAACCCAGGGTTTCACAAGGATACTGCATCGTTTGCTATGTACGTCAACAATCTAACCTGGTTTAGCACTCCGCTAGATTCACCTTCCTCCAGGTAGCAAAATCTATTAAAAACTCCGCATTGGAAAGCTGCAATGGGATATGGGTGTTTGGAACATTTTGCGGACATAGGATTTCCCATTTAACATAAGTTCCAAATGTTACCCTTGCAGAATCTCAATCATGCATCATAGTTTGGAGACCAGTTTGGGAGGCCCACACTGGAGAACGCCGTGTAGACGAGAAACGTAGGCGCCCTTGCTCAGGGCGACATCAGCGTAGGGACTCCGTCTGCTTCTACAGGGAAAAATAAAAAACGCTATTCCAACACTGAACGGCAGCAGAAATGATGAGGCCACAGGCGTTCCCCGTTGGCAAGCAGCAACTTCTGATTTTGATACCATTTCGAAACAGAAGCATGGAAACTAATGGGCGAAGCAGACCAGCCTATTTCAGTTCGGCTGAGCACCGAACGCGAAACAGCGCCCTATTCGTAATTCGCATATGTTGCCGAGGGGAGCGAGATGGTGGGGACAACGAAAGAGGTATGTTCGTAATAGGGTCCTGAATGCAAATTTCTGCATCCTTCCCACTTTATAACATTTAACTGTCTGCCGAGGTTTGTTCCCTTATAAGAGATTCCAGGATGCCACCATAACAGCACGATGTATAGTGTAAAATTCGGAACTAATTTTCCTAACAATTTACGATCTGATTCTTCATTTTGACTGTAAATGTAACTTTCACTAGATACAACATGAACAGTGAGAGGGTCTCAACGTTCGCCTGCGTTGTAAGTCATTGTAAAGCATACCACAAATTTACTCTTAAAAGAAAAGTTGTTGCTGCAATAACTACCTTCTACAACAAACTCAGATCCGAGAGACACATAGAGGCTTTAAAGACTTTGAAACGTAGTAGTGTATATAGAAGAACAAACGCATGTACCAACCTCCATGGCGAAATATACGTTGCTTGCTCATGGAAGGGGCTGGTAAGCTGTAGGATTCTTTCACCTATGTTTTGGACGCTGATTTGGCGTAATTTTGCGCGACAAGCAGGAGTTACGCTGCCATGTGAAACCTTTCCTCGTGTATACTGTGAGGCACAAACTAAGAGTGGGTAGGAACACAGAAGTGAATTTACAAAGCAGCTACATACTAGGAAGGGAACAACAAATGAAATCATATGCGCAAGAAGTTTAAACAACCTAAAAATGGGACAGATAGCAAAAATAGTCAAAACGAACAAAGACAAACAAAAAAGGACTCGAGACTTTCTTTTGGGGTTTCAAAACGTCTCAAGATGTCGGACAGTTAGTCACTTCAAAAGCCTACATTCAGCTCATTTAACAAACAAATTTGTGACGTAGCCGCTTAAACCTGCTGCGACCCGTCGATATTACGAAAGATGATTAAACGGGGATGGATTCTAGCTACAAACCAACGCTACTTCATGTGTCTGATGGAGACACCGGAGCATAGGTTGATGTTTACAAGCGACAGTCAAGTGGGTAAATATTAGGAGAATCTGGAGCTTTTAAACCAGTCGATTTATGGTTGCCCCATGAGTTGAATGACGCGAACGGTCGTCAAGAAACGGTAAGATAAATATATGAACAGGTTAACGCTGACATCCAAAAAGTTACTTCGTGAAACCGAAATTAGATTCAAAATGAGAAGAACCATCTGCAGCTGCAGGGTTAAGTGGACCGTCTACTCAGGACATCGGAAAGGTATCGTATTCTTGCGGAAAAAGGCTAAACTCATTTTCTCACAAGGTTGCAAACCTTAAAATATGCAGTGAACATGCCGCATAGGTTTGGCCCCAAACAGGCGTCAAATCAATCAGACTTCCAGAAGAAAGGCCCATCAGATGACCCATTTGTGCATGGAGCAGATGGCTGCGCAACCACCTGGGTATATTTAGGGAATATTTAACAAGATTGGATACGCCTTTATAGAAAAATTTGTTTGGAAAACGTCATAAACAAAAGTCTAAGTTTGCTATCTTTCTAGAGAACGTAGCTCTCTAAACCAAAGAAGACTAAGGGAGAGGTCACATACTAGAAGATGACGTGGCTTGCCTGCTAAATTTATCTTGTGATTGAAACAAGAGACGCTGAGGAATTGACTTTTCCCGTCAAATATATTTCGATATCCTCAGTTTACAAGCTTACTCAACCTCAGGCAAACTATTGTCAGCTCTCCAAGCTAAAGTTGGTCACTGTACTTGGAAGATGTTCTTTTAAAAGTTGTCCCAATTTGCTGGACGATTTTGAAAACTGGCACGAAACTTCAGATATCATATCCCTTAACTCATATCTGCGGACATAGTCTGGGTGAGGTGGCTCAATGACCAGGCTCGCAAGCGTCAAGATGTTGTATTTTTCTAGTTTTGAAATGACGTAATGTTATATAGGCTGTCTACAAGGTGAGGCAACCGTGCCGTAAACATGGCAAATCCAGATTGGAGAGGCAAACACTGAGGCTAACATTCACTAGATTACGAGGTATACGTGGCACCTAGTAATAGTTTGAAGCAAACTAAAGCCCTCAGAGATTGTGACACTTTAAAATCAAATTTGAAAAAAGATGCTGACACCAACATATGCAAAGCTGACCACTACTGCACAGTCGTCCTGGAAGATACCACAGAAGGATATTTAATTCTAACCCAAGGCTGATTTTCTGGATAAACGAAAGAGCGTTGAGTTCTAAAATAGTGTCTGGGCATTGAAAAACGCATTTCGTTTACACAATTGAATCAACCAATTAACACGAATGAGATAAAGGATATAGAGCACCTCGCTGACAAACGGAATCCCATAAGTTTTTTGAGAAGCACAAAAAAGCTCCTGGGACTACACCCCGGTAAGTAAACCCCAATAATGGACATGAGAATCCTGAATAATTAGGAGTACAAGGTAAACACAAAACATGTTCTATAATTCCATCATCTTAATAACTAGAACACATACGGCTTCTCCTAATTAAACAATAATGGTGCTCCAATCGCAACATACAAGATTAACCCAGCTTTGTTACTAGTTTACATCTCTATCTCAAGTTACGAGCAGTTCAACTTCAAAATGTATCATCCCAATAACGAAATATAAACAAAGCTACGCTGCCTCTGGAACAACAGATTGTGAGCTCCAGAGTGTGCATCTGGGCTCAGTGAGTTCTTGTTATATCCTATCTGTTGAAAACTCTAACCGTAATGTTGGTCGTTTTATTTGGTTGATAAATAAATGAATACAAAATGTTGGCTACCTAAAACAAAGTTGTCAAAGCATTCTAATAAGCTAAAGAAGAGCATCCAGATCTTGACATCGGTGATGAAAACGATGACGCTAGGACAATGGGACCCACGCCTCATAGGCTTTGGAGCGGATTAAAATGACATCATACTAGCTTCAGGTTAAAACTTCTCACTGACACGTTTGGGTTGGGTTAGTTGAATTGCGTAAGACCGAAATGCAGGTGTAAATCTCACGGCCCTTATCAAAGTGCCTGTGAGGTGCATCATGTTTATTTGCCTGGTTTACTCCATGAAATGTCTTTCTGTTTTCATAAATATATGTGTAAAAATGAATGCTTTTTACGTAGCTGAAAGAAAAAGAAGTTTCAACCAGTTAAAATTGGATGCTTGAATATATTATTCAGGTTACAGATGACTTCAAATGTGGCGCTGCATTCAAGTGTTGAGAGAGGTGAGAGCCTTGCGGGATATCTTTGATGGGGCTATAGATTTGGTGAAAGAAGTCAAAACTCTGATTAAGTGAACAAAACTTCAGCATTCTTCTGATTGAATGACACGAAAAACCTGTATCGTAAGCAGCCAAGGATATGGCCTAGGTAATGTTACCCACATAACTCTTAATACTGCGCATACTGTTAGCGCAACGGCTAATTAATGTCAGTAACATGTGTGCAGCCTGATTCAGTTCCAGTTGTATGATTGAGCTATTGAGTGTGTAAACAGCTCTGAAGGCTTGCGGTGGCCTAGCTGAAATTCTCTTCTTTGTCTGCATCCTTCTTGTATTTTCACTTTAGGCTCCAAACAATTGACTGAACTTTACGCTAGTGCAATATTAAAGCACGGCTGCTCAGTTTAAGTCTTCTATCTATGGCGATTCTGGTAGCTACTAGTGGGGTAAGTAAAAATTGCAGGACTTTGTGGGGTTCATATCGCCTAATCCGACTGTTGACCAAGCAAGTGGTACCAAAGCGCCTGGTTGGGTTTATACTATCTCACATGGAGGACATATCGCTTGCTTACGCCCGATGTCCTGATGAGGGCAAAAACGTATACCTGAAATCAGCACAATGGCTGACCACAAGAACGGTGACAGAATTTCGATTATTCTGGTTACCGAAGGTCACAAGTTTTATGTGTTTGTTATCAAATATAACTTTATGCGTAAGCTACGTAAAAGCATAGGACGAGTTTAAAATACTAGGTTCTCGGCAGTGCCAGCGACATTTTTGGAATGTATAGCAATCTTTGTGGAGCCGCCTTTGGTATATTATTCTAATGGTGTCTTTCGCGAAGATCATCGGAAGCTTGATGTACCAACATTTCTGGGATGCTCATCGGAACCAACATACAAGCAAAATCCAAGAGCGATTTTTCCTAGGAATCATTTCAGACTTACAGACTAACCAACTATTTACAGTAATCTTTAATCAAAACGAACTCATCGCAGACCACGAGATTTTTTGCTCTGGCTATATGAAGTTACCTCGAAAAATCTCAATGACAAAGTTGCTTCTCGAACATCAAAAAAGCTATACCAGACCAAACATTAAGATATGACTATCAAGCGAGGTGTCACGCAGTCTTACCAAACGCGTCCGATTCTAGAGATACCTCATACATACTCCTTTGTCTAGAGCGAAACCATATAAAGATGCTCTTCTCTATGTCACTCGATTGAGAAAAGATGTTTTGCCTACACTTTCAGCATGGATCTACAGTAAAATTCCTATTGAGAAAACTGCTACTAACGTTTATTCTCATCTTTTTGGAAAGTGAGAAGCCATCTTCAAAAATATCACAAATTGTTGCTCCCTACGAATCACGACCAGGGGCACTGTCTCAACACATTTTTGCCTAGTTTCTGTTTTACTGTTTTTTACTGTGGACCACCTAAGCATTCAGTAATCTGACGTCAAACTCAACCGTTGAGGTGAAGGTACAAGTTTGTTCTGATATTGTTTTAGGGTAAAGTTTATCCCTATGAGTTACTGAATTTACTGACTGAAGAGCAGGTCGTATACGAAAAGCCCGAAATATTGGCGTTCCCAAAAGTACTTGTTGATCTATAAGGATGGAAGATATTGTGAAGTTTCACTGGAGACTTTGTTCTTTTTTAATTTATGCTAGAAATCTGAGAATCAATGCTGAGCTGTACCAACACCCTCAGGAGTCGTGAGTAAAAAGCGCTGGTGACGTTGCGATTTTTCCGTTGTCGTTTGGAAGTCGTACAGTCTAGCTATATTGTACTATGCTACGTTACACTATACTACACTACACCATGGCATGAGCGCTTAAAAAGTAAACTTTCTGAGTATACTATACTATATCACACTATATCATACTACACTGCACCATAATTTACAATGACACAACATAGTATGACATGTTAGAATATAGTATACTATACTACGCTGTGCTTTGCTATACTGTCTCATTGATGGTATGATGAGCTTAAATCCAACTTAAACTCACAACTGGTCCTCATCACCTACAAGTTCATTTTCTATTTTGTAATAATAACTGTAAACTACACTAATGTGTTTGCCGGATAGGTCTCACTTACTTGCGTTCGATTGACTTGCATCCAGAGTGAGATGAACTTTATCAGTACATCTATTTTTGCTACCTTTTTGAGCAAAACTTATCTTGTGAAATTTATTCCCGACCGTCAACCTATACTCCTGCAAATGCTGGGAAAAATGCATCAATTTATTGACATGCGAGAAGAAATCGGAGTAAGTTTGAAACACAATAGCGCGTAAATAAAAAGTAAAATTTGATCATCAATAAATAGTAAGATTTGAACATCAAATGCTCTCGGAACACTATTTAAAAGCAACTGCTGACTTCACAGATCTCCAAAGTAATCTTTGTGACGCGTGAAAATTGGCGAGTGCACAAACACTTCCCTATTAATATGCCTACACCTACTACCTTGGGGATCCTTATCGGTGTCGATTAGGAAATGGAAATGAAAACCTCGTTTATGATTGGCTGCTGATTCGCTCGCCGAAGTTGACAAATGCTTCGTCATCATACGGGGAGGCATAATTAGTACACAGTTTAGTGGATATCTCATGTTTGTCTGTGCGCGTTTATGTCGCATTTTAGGGCCACCTGTTATATCCAAACGTGGTTGGCTAGTTGGGTAACAGCGTCTTTCATGAATCTGTCGGTCCTTTCGTCACATATTTTTGCGTTGTGGTCTGCGTTCCTCTGGGTTTATTGGTTATCCTAATGCCTTCTATTTTTGTAGTTTCTTTTCTGACCTTGATTAGCCCCTTTCTCGATTTGGATTGCGCTGTGGCCTGATATTATCGAGATTGATTGGCCGGCTGCATTGTCGTATTTCCTCCATGGTGATGGCTGGTGTCCCTGTGCCCACCAATTAATTTGGTACATTGGTTTATGGACTGAGTACACCCCCTATCGGAATGATTTGTCCGTTTAAACCTGGCTTTCCTGCTTTTCTCATGATTCGCAAAAGCTACCCCGGAGCTTCCTGGTTTTGGCGTTTTCTTGTTCTTAATGGTTGGAAAAGGGTCTGTTTCGCTTACTTTGTAGATAGCTTCTTCGGTGTAATACTGCGCTTCCATAGATTTACGTTCTTTCTTTGCTCTTGCTTGAGACAATAAGCGAATGCTACCGCAGTGGAACTGGTGTCCTTCCTGATCTTTGTGCGCAGAGATGATAAAAAAAGTTACCGTGTTTTTGTAGCGAGCTTGCGTTTATGTATTCTGGTCGTGAGATTTCCTTCTGTTTGTTCAGCTAGACAATGGCCGGAAGTCAGTTCACAAAACAACTGCGCTCAAATCCACCCAAACTCTGCACTTCTCAACGTATCTTGATACTCTCGATTTATTGCAGAATCAAGACGTATGATGACATCCTAGGGCCCACTGCCGCAGCCATCTGAAGATACCTACAATTGAGTCTTTCAGTCTTGGTAAACCTAACCTCGGTAAATGTATTTCAAAGTCTAAAAAACAAATCTTTCCCAAAAAGTAACATCCAGACCCCATGCTAAAAAAGACAGCACTCCGACCAACGTCAGTCAGCTGAGCACTCGACGGATGCACAATAGGCAAAAGTAAATTCTTTCAGGATTGTTGGTCACAAACTGAAAAGGTGACCAAGCTACAATTATTAGACCAATCCTAAATTTAGTTACAAAAGCAAGTGTTTTAATACTCTCAAGTTGAGTGTAAAGCAGCCACTTACTCCAGGGTGTTTTCAAATGTTTTTTAGCCATTTAAGTATTTTCAAATGTTTTCAGACTGGCTTGAGTTAACCTGTGTCGCTGTAAAAGTGGGGAAACCTGCATCTCTGAGACACCTCAAGGACATGTTTCTTCACTTTTGTCATTGCATATTTTGATGATACATTGTTTGCTTCATCTACGGGACATGGTTAGCTCTTCGGTGGCTGTACGCGAGAAGCTGGACAAGTACAAGTGGAAGAAACGCGCGACCAAACCCTTAACACAGTGTTGGAGTTCCATTGGACCCCGCGTATCTCTGACAACGGGGAAAATCCAAAGACCACAGAAAACAACGCCGGCCATATCGTCCGCATGCATGACTACACCATCCATCACCAACCCAAACGTCAATTCGTATGTGATTGTCAGTAAGCTATCAAATGAGTCCAAAACTCTTTTCACGAATCTAATGAAGGCTTGACGTCAATACAAGAAACTTTGATTCATTATTGTGCTTTATTTTGATACTTTTTCGAATAATCATTAACGTAACCGACGAAATTGGATTAAACTATAAAAAACAAAGTGTAAGTAATTGGGAGAAAGATTTTTTAGTAATTTATCTTGTGGAACACCCGTCCGGGAAACTTTACGTCTTACGTTCGATTTATTCTCTTTGCCCCATTTTGCTACTTTTATTCAGTGTGTCTGTACCTCAGTTCGGAGAGGCCTCAATGAGCTTGCATTTGTACTGTCTTGTATATATCCGATCTCTACAAAAGGCAAAGAATAAACTGATATTCTGGCATGTAAGTTTGTACCAAATAAAGATGTCTCACCAGAGGAATGGGCCTAAGTTTTCCCCTGTAGTACCAAAGACCATTTCATGCAACTTGGTTGCGTCCCTAATGAAGCCATTATGTTTGCACTTCCGCGAGTTTGGGAAACGTGTGTACATTATGTAGCAGCTTGGAAGACTACATCCTTAGATGTTCACCTAACTAGTTTGGCCGAAAAATATAATACAAACTGTTTGTCATATACCTTACATTAGTTACACTGCTTGTGTCGTTCAGGTAAATGGACAGCCTCGACCATGGCCGTCTTATATATAAGGGTTGTCATGGACATGAACCATTGGTACTTTACTCAGGTGAATAGCACTTAGAACCGATTGGTTCGTCACGGTTTTCGTAAACATTTGGCAACAATGGATAGATTTATTGCTTCGTATATTGCAACGTTTCGCTTTTAACACAAATGCTTCGTCAGGCCAACTGGTTAGGTTACGAGTTTGGTTAAGATTTAAGGCGGAGGGAGAATCAATCAGCTAAGTCAAGGTAAATCTCTGTTAGACATTGACTGAGGGGTGTAGTGTGTTAGATTTGGTGATGAAGTGCTAGACCGATGGGGAAACCAACGTAGATTTTCAAACACTTTTCATCATGACAAGTGCTGTGAACAGGTTCAGTCAGAAACCCCAACAAGTTAATGATTCGGGCTCACTTAGCAATTCCGAGCAGTTAAAAAAACAGTGAATTGTAGACTAAACCAACGAATGCAGGAAGCTTGCATCCTGACCAGTTGCAGAACAGCCAACTAAATAGTATACGACTTGGTGGGAAGTTTCCATACCGGACAAATAAAACCGTCTTCCACTAGTAGGGTAATTATTAAACAAGGGGCAAAGTTTTGCTAGTAGGTGCTGTGATACTATGATTTATTTGGTTAGCTAATGACACAAAAAACGAACGACTTATATTTCGCTCGTCTGGTTAAGTTCTTCCTAATTTGCAGTAAATTTGATGAGAGGAGTCCACGGCGTGCCGATTATATACATATATATTATATGTAACATGGAGAACAGTCAATTTCATTCTCATTCACCAGTTACATTACAATTTAAACACGATATTCTCGCTGCTACTTATCAATGAAGCCCAGAGCTATTCTTACTCTAAAGTTGAACCGAGCAAGGAACTCCAGTTTTCTAACAGCTATGGTCTGTACACTCTACCATTTCTTCATTAGCGCCGGAATCAACTCACCTAAACACGTTAAACTGACCGCAGACAAGTGTTGCACCAGTCATTTCTGTACTTGTTAATCCTTCACGTCACCTTAAAGTAGAACCAGTGCGGGATGTATCTCTTTACCTTGTATCAAGCATAACTGGTTCTGTTTTTTGCCCTGAGCTGATCACAAGGACACAGTTTGACCGTCGAGACGGTCAGGTATTTTATTTGGTGGGCTGAGTCCATACTAATCCAAACAAAACTGACAGATTTATCTAGACGAAGTTCAGTGTGAATTGATTCCGTTTATTGACCATTATAACTCCGATACATTTAGGTAAAAGCTTTGATACGGTTTACCTTCGTAATATTCTGTGTGAACTGGTATAGTCAAAAGGAAGTAGTTCAACTAAGCTTCACACGTTCATTTATTTTGCTTCAAACTCAATATGACTTTGATTCAATCTCTTTAATATTAGATCAACACTCAGGGTGTACTACACAATACTTAAGGCGTTGCGTCCGTCCTTGATGCTTGTTCCATGTGCGCCATATTTGCCTTTTTGAAACGCGTACTTACTCTTCCCCTATCTTCCAGGCATTGTAGAGGGTAGGGGGAGTTCTACTGGCGAAATTGGAATTGCAAGTCTGGATTTGAATCGGCCAAACATCGAATTATCGCAGTTCTGTGATACAAGCAGTTACAGTCGAACGTTAGTTAAGTTACTTGTCCTAAACCCTAATCTGGTGAGTTTATCAGAGCCATTGTGAACAACTCAAGACCTATAAATTCCACCCGCCATTGGCGTATGCTCTTACCTAGAATAACATTTCGACTGGTATTATAAAAACCACTGTAGTATCATAACCACGCCTTAAACTTTCATCTATGCTTCCTAGTACTTTGAATTTTCAGTCGGTTCTTCAGTTTTCTGAACCATGTTTTGTCCCACCCAGAATGATTTGTAACTCTGATGCCTACAATTCAGTAAACTTTGCTGATAACTTGGAGGAGCACCTCAGGCGCATTTATGATTCCAGGTAGATGATGACTAAGTGACAGTTCCTAAAGTACCCGTCTGCTTGTAAACCACCTTGAGAATTTTGTTATTCCGTGGAACACATGTTCAAATAAGTCAAGGTATAAAAGCGCGAAAAGCAAAGCGGACGCATTTGAACCAAATGAAATAGCCGTAGAAAGAAGTATCTTGAGGAAGATTCAGCGTCCTCTGTCACGAAAGAATCCTCTGTTGTCCCACAACTGGGGACCAATCTTTTGCGTATTCCACATTCTGGCTTAAGTCGCCATGAAACTGTTTGCATCAGTTCAAGCAATGTCTAATTCGTAGTTGTGTTGGATCACTCCATTATAACTGTTATTTTCCTGTCTTTAGGCTTGCAGCCATTTTACGAAAACAAGGCTGGTGAATTTCGATGTTACACTTCATGAAAATATATCAGTTAACTGGACTACATAACATATGTGTGAACAGTGTTCACAAAATAAACAAGAATAGGGCTGTTGTTGTTCAATCAGTACTGATATTTGGGTGACACAAAGTGAAATGTGCTATAATCATACCCTCTTCCCTAGTCAGATCCAATAAAACCAAAGTTATCAAAAGCGTGTCGCACGATTAATCAACAGTTGAACTTGCCATTTCCAAGCTGGTGCCAAGTGAGACCTCTTGCAATCACTTAATCTGATTAAGTTGTCTATGTGACTGGCTGAAAATCAATTCTTGCTTTGTGACCCTCAGATAATAGCTAGGGAAATAAGAATAGGAGCAATGGTTCTTTATCGAGTGATTTCCCGACAATGATATTCAATGGTTAGAGATGATGAACAAAGGAATTCTTTCTCTAATTTAAGAATTCAGTCAAATGAGGATTTCGTGAGAAAATCTGGAGACACTAATATAGTACTGTCAGGATAAGCAATAGCAGATCAGCATGTACTTTTTTATGAAGTACATGGCAAAACTAAAATATGTAAACGTCGTGTCACTAGTGACCCCCTTTTAACTCTTCCTTGAGGGCTAGTCCATTTGAAATGCTGCCAGAAACGCATTCGTAGGAAACACTTGTTTTGATTTATCTGGAGCCCCGAACTTATTTTTCAAATTTTACTTTGTCTAGCTTGTAGCAACTTTCTTCACGGAGAAAGCTGTTTCACCCCTGAGGAAGTACCGAATCACTTCTGCCCAGCTTCTTGTTGCCCCTGTGTATAACAATGACACCACAAGCGAGACAGCTTCAAGAAGAAAAGTCACATTATCCGTAGTCTATTCCGCCGAAGAACGATGAGTACGAAAACCAGATAAAAATGCATGCAGAATGCTAAATTCCTGGCTATAGATGGTGTTTTTCGAAGTATTCACACTCAAGGGTGTGTTTGCGTGAAGTATTTGTTGCGCTTTCTATACTACTTTTGGCAGTATCTCAGCCGCCTTCACTTCTACCGTAATGCTACTTTTCCAGATAATCGTGCCCCATTCATCTTTGGAACCAAGCAGTTGTATGCAGAAACTCGTCCGTGTTCTCCAAGGCTTCCGTACCAGCTCACCAGTCATCGGTGTATATAGAGGGCGCTTCAACGATAGACAAGGTAGCCACATGTATTTCCATATGCGCTTCATTCGTGCACGATTTCTCGTAAAATCTGAAGCTACCTCTAAGATCACACTACACGTATCGTTTGTCGCCAATCGTTGTTTAAAGTGCCTTCAGGATGCGTTCTTGAAATCTGTTCATTTTTATCGAGTCGCAATTTGGTTTAGTGTTAGCGTCGTTTGCAACTTACTGGGAGGAATTCTAAACATGAAACTCATCCGCTTGTTTAATGCTCTGGTTGAATAGGCCGAAACTACAAATGTGCTACTCCATTCAATTCTTCATTTCAACCTTGTGAGTAGTTTCCTTCATGAAAACTTTATCGTTATTAGGAAAATCGTAGATGACATTGCATCTATTTGGTCGCGCAGTTAATTTTCATGTTCCTGATATCCTCATCGTTGTTTTTTGGTGACGTGTGCGGTTTGATTGCAGGCGTTCTATCATAAGTTCAGGTCAATTCATCAGTGCGTCATTAGAAAGAGGAGAGGAACGTGGAGGTCTGTCAACAAGGGAGAACCAGAACTTGGGCTGTCGAAGAATTTTTCATTAATTTGATGAGTGACCTTCCTCCAAAGGAAAATGTACTGCGCTGTCTCAAATATCGTACCACGTGAAGTATGGGGCTTTTTTGCTACACATTCACTTAGAGAATATCATAAGATAACTGAGTCCATGGACCACAACGATTCAGTCGATTCTTCCGTTAAAAGCATATTGGTGTTCAAATGAGTGCACTTCACGAATAAAAGGCCTATCTCACCCCTAAAGCCGTTAAGACCCTCCACAAACCTACAAGATTGCCCTACCTTAACGCACAGATCGTGCGATATGGTTCCTACTGGTCACAATCTCATGAGGGAAAATATCCGTTAAGAAACACCTGGAAGTTATTTCACTAAGGGGACGGCCAGTGCACCAGCTCCCCCTACGTTCGAGGAGTTAAAGACTGGACAGATTATCGCGAAGTAGCAAAAAAAGTAATACTTTTTTCGTCACCAGCATGTTTTTCATCGTTTTCATCACCATCATCGTCATGATAATGATCATCACTACTAATGTCTACGTGGTCTTCTACTTTCTTCTTCAAGATGCGCTCGAATTACTCCACTTCTTCATGCTGATTATAAAAGTTAAATTCATGTCAACAATCTTCGTTAGCGTGGCTTGATAGAATGCCACCGTTACAGGCTAAACAACTTTTGAAACGACGATTTCTCAATAGGTTCCGAAATTTTTCCAGTCGTTTATGAACAAATTTCAGTTTTCCTTGTTCAATTATTAAGTTATTACGCTTTAAGTAGTGAGAAAGTTTTGAAAATATTCACTCAGAAATGACTGCATAAAATTGTGTTCAGTGGTATGCAGCACAAATATTATATTTTCCATCCCAGGTCTTTGTGATCTACGACGACTTTGCCACCCAGTGTACCTGGCTTCAATATATGCCATCAGACAGCGGTAAGTTCCACAGTTAAGTGTTTTTTCACCTCACCTTACCCTACATCAGCTCTGGTGTTCAGCACCACATTATTATTACACTGTGTGTGGATGAGCGAAGAGTAGTGTGTCGTGATTAAGAAGCCTTGAAATGGTAATTCGTAGAGTGGTTGCCTTCACACAGATGCATCACTAAACATAGTGGGACTGAGCTCGGTTGTGAAGATGGCTGAAACCTTGTTGTGAGTGAGATAACCTGGGTGGTCGAAACTTATCATTATTGGTGTGGTTTCAAGTAAACTATCGCATTTGTTGCGTGAGCAGCTATCACATGGAATAAAGACACAAAAGAAATCAAATTTTAGATGGAATGAGAAGCAATCAGCTAGAGTGATTCTCAACTCAAATGATCTAATGGAAAAGACCAGAAGGTATTGGTATTTCGATAAGTCACGCTAAGCCACTCGTATGTTCATTACAACTGTCTGACCATCCCTATCTGATGACTGAAACTCTCAATGCCTCCTAAATGAAGGCGTTTAAAGACTATCACATAAGCTATCTTCTTTTGTTACTTCACGCTTCCTATACTATAGGCTGAACAGGGGAAAGAATGAAACCTTTAGCCATTATTCCAGTTATGTTGGAGTGAATCACAAGCAGAATGTCTGGTATTAAACCATTAAGACCATGTGCCCAAATTATGCATTACTAATTATGTCATCTTGAAAATTAGTCCACAAACAGTGTATGAAGCAAACGTTACGAGCAAATTCGACTGAGTACTGAGAGATCACAAACCAATAGCCAAAACAACCCAAGGGAACCCATGATGGTAATTTGCATTTTTTTAAGCCTGTCCGTGCTCTAAAGGATATCGGTACTCATTTGACGAGCTCACACAACCCAAACACCGATTTCTCCTCCCTCCAGTTTCTACGCTCTCGCAGCCACGTCAGCACTCTTCCACTATGCCGAAGAAGCGCATGGTCGTTTTCACGCTCCTCGGTCTCTCAAGTTCAGCTTTACGGGATCATTACAAACAACAATGATCGGTAGGCTGCGCATACGAAATACATTCAGAGCTTGATTTAATTTAGGGATGTTATTTTAAGCATTTTTGTTGCAAAGGGACTGAATTTAGTTGTTTCGTTCAATATCCTTTTATAATATCAGATATTTGGGTTTTGCTTCACTGTAATGTGTAAAAGAGTGAAAAAATGGTTTTCCATGGAATCTGGAACGAAGCAGGCTTTTTTTACACCTATTTCCAGATCTGAAAAGTGCATGTCGTCTTGAGCTGGTTGACTTCACTGGTGATACCAAAGCATCCAAATCGTTGTATGCTGCAATCAACTTCACTTGTACCGTTGGAGGATCACGGCTTCTCCGTGCGAACATTCTCGAGCCTCCTTGTGGTGAGTCTTGTAGAATTATGCATCACTCATGACTGCTAGTGATTAAAGATGAGTGTATTCAACGCGTGAGATACTCAGCAACTGTTTTCAACAGGTGAACAGAGAGATAAACAGATGATTCTCTTTCTGCTCATTTATGGTACGCCATACCAACAATTGTTTTCGCCAACGTACGCTTGCTCCACTTATATGGCCGTCTCCTTCAACAGATCTGAACTAGTATTGCTGAATCTTTTTTCTAAATTTGCTTAAACCCAATTTCATTGAACGAATCTTTGGAGCTGCACAACACACCAGACAGTACCGGCTCTAACATTCACAATTAACTATGGTAAGACTCGTATTTAGTGCGACGACGTGTTTAGCCATTAAGTTTTGAGCCGCATATCACACCAGAGTATTTTCGATAACGTTTACGATACGAACCGTTGGCAGGTTGGAAAAGCCAAGCAAAGCAGCAAGAAATTTCAGTTCACTTCTCAAAATCTCTAAGAAAACGCCTGCCAAACGGTTTTCCAGACGGTTTGTTCCCTAGCTGATAAAAAGTGTCAGACAGTTGAGATGATGTTTCGAATTCATGGACACCATCAACTATATCACTAGCCCATGCATCTTGCTCATGCCTCCTGTCTAAGAGGATAAAACCCAAAAAAAGAACGCCAATGTTTATTTTGCGCATTGTGCTGTGTCTCTAATCAAAAGTTCATACACCTCGGTCGCGTGACTAGGATGACAACTCCTCAAAAAATTGAAATCCAGTTCAGACCAGATTGTGAACCGTATATTAACAGTTATCATTAGTGTCACAAATAGAGTACAGTACTCAAGCTTTGTGCCTGACTGCTCTTCTAAATCATGTATGCTATCCAGAGACTTCACAATCCTTCACCATATTCATAGCTGAGATTGCAAAGTACCTACCAGTACCTATTACCCCCACCTCCCAAAATAAATTCTGACCTCACTTACAACAGCCTGTTTTGTGATGACCAACTAGTAATCTTGTGTACACAGAACCCTCGTTACTTACATTTTTCAAATTTCGCAGGTAAGCATGATGGGCTGGATCAGTGCGTGCGAATACCGTCCAAACAAGTATGCCACAAGAGACTAGTCCAGTTGAATGTCTTACTGCCATGCTTGCATGTTCATTCATGTAATAGGCTACTGCTTTCCATTACACTAAAAATGAGCTATTTTGCCGTTGTGGATGGACAAACACCAGAAGCCCGCAGAACTAGTAACAATTATGACTTATCTGATTTCCTCAAGATCTACCCACAATACTCCAAAGGCAGGACGCAATAACTGAGCTAGCGAAGTCACCAGAACTCTTGGTTGGTGTACAGGTGAGTTGACTGGTGTTTACTTTCGTTCACCAATGTTCAGTCATTGTTATTCAAGAACGGGTAAAACTGTTTGAATTCATTGTTAACGGAAAACCGTTTTAGGTAGTGCTCTTATGGCGATGGAATCAGAGAGACATGTTTCTTGAAGCATTTGTCACTTATTACGGCGCGCAATTCGTTCCGGAGCGTATTTCGATGTCTACCTTCCTGAAGTACTTGTGTGGATTTTGAAGTTGGAGGTTAGCAGCTAACTTGATATCACTGATGTTTGATTTATCTTGGCTCTTCAAAATGGTAAACCTATCCAACAGCGACCTCCCAAAACAGTAGCAACATCGTCAGGAGTCCCTTTATGTAAAGAAAGAACCTTCCTAATCCTCATCTACTGCACCCGACTAGAGTGAAACTGCCTGTAGAATGTGGTCATGCGCCATGGGCTTCCAAACTCTGTTCTTCCTTCGGCCGAATGGTAAACGGTCGCACTAAGTTCGTTCAGTGTGGCGCATCCGGATGAGACATTCTGCTCGGCATCTAAGCCGGCTGTTGGCTGGATTCAGTCCTAAGAGTAAACAGAGAAAAGGTCTTCTATGAAAATAATCTTCAAGTTGTGTTAGTTTGGTGCGCGTGACTTGAATGTTCGGAATAGGTCAGATATCTTAGAGAATTAGAGTTGCAGCCGGTATCCAGAGGCTTTCTCATACAGGATTACAAGATTGCAACAAATAACACAGTGAAGTGATGAAGTGATGGTCACTGGAGGCTTTCGCGGTCGTTCATAAGTTTGCTCTCCCCAGAAATCATGAACCGGTAGAGGAACCATACCTCGTGAAATTTACTCTTGAACCAATGCAGAGAATGCCGACTACCTAAAAAGACAGTAATCTCACAAACCGTTTAGTTCTATTTCCTAAAGAAAGACGACGGTTGTAATTAGATAGAAAAATGAGAACATTGCTTGGCACGAAGAGCGATTCCTTTCTGACAACAGTGAGATTCAATGTTCCTAAGCGATGCTGAAGCACCCCACTGTTTAAGAGCTGAAGGTTTTGTTGTGTGGCTGAAAAGCTGGATGAATGGTCAGTTTTATGGGAATGAGATATCTTATGACTAGGATACAAACTGCTTGTGGTTTAGCTTGACCGAAAAGGCATCGTAAGACAAATTATGGTAGTCTTGAAACACTGTAGGGTAAAACGGATCCCGTTTACTTGTTGTTCCATGAAAACACGCATAGGTCTTGCGGGGCTCAGGTCGCATATCACAGTCTTAGATCTAGCATGATACGAGCCACTGCTACCAATACCGGTTGACTGTTGAACTCGGGAAAATTTAAATTAAACCCTCCTTCAAGGTAACCACTATCCGAATAGCATACGCAACTGTGGTCTCCTTAATGGCTCTGGAAATCGAACTCTACCCGAAAAAATGAACACATCACTAGAGAGAACATTCAAAAGGTACAAAAACAGTGTTATTTTATGTGATGGAAGGCTGCTCTCATCGGCCATTTTCGAGGTCAGAAAATACCTCATCGCCAGCTTTACGCTGAAGACGAACTGGATGTACGAGGAAATTTTGAGGCAACACAAGCGGTCGCTTGATAGAGTTACGTTACTTAGCTGTAAAATGAGGCGTATGTTTTGAAGAACTACAGACACGTATAGATTATACTGAAAACGTCTGAGCTCTACGTAAATCTGAGTGATAATACGCAAGCATAATCTGTTCTCTGAAAGTGGGTTAGAGGTACATTCTGTCTGATTATTCTGCAACACGGTGTATCAACTCCACAATCAGACTGATCAAAAAGTAGACTGACTTTTTGTTATTGATAAAACTCAGTTGTCATTATCAGCAGGTGTGGAAAGCATCAACATGCCGACAATTTGAGTTACAGTCATCAAGGTTATTGTTTTGAAATTATTACTATATTTCGCACGTACCTTAAAGGTGTCCTTCACAGGATGAAAAAATCTGAGGATGACTAATCAAATAACTCAAAGGGTATTGAGGCTGCAGGTGATTCAGAACAGCCGATACATTCGGAGGCCAAAGAAGAGGTGATATGGTACCATTCTTAGTCACGGATGCTTCATGAACAAACTGAAAATACGGTTTTGGGTTTAATAATTGCTGAGATAAATATACTTAAGACTTGATGAAATAAGGAGGTCTTACCTTGGAGTACAAACAGCTGGCTTATTCCCCTCGTGATAACCCGTTTGACATTGGGTTGTTTGGCAAAATCAAGGATTTAGTGAACTTGTAAACCGGAACTTTGGCAGTCTGACTAGGTTCCATCGGTCGTCCCTGTTGCGAGGACTACTGCACACGTCTTAGTTAATTTGGTTTTTGTGGTGTGGCATATGTCCATTAGAAATGCTTTATTCAGTTAGCCCAGGGAGGAGTATACCGTCAATTCGTAGTGTGACCAAAGGTCTGTCAGTTTTCAGGGAATCATTCCTTCTCTTTCAGAATGTCCTGCGGCAGTTCCCGAATATTGACGGTCTACTTTCACTATGCGTACAGATATGCAGTTCTCCAAATACCTCGTTAAATCACAACACTCCACTGACAGATGGAACATGCACCACGCGTATTCCCGTTGATAAAACCTCGAAGAACGAAAATGACATTACAAAATCCAATAGCGCAATGCCAAGGACGGGTGGATGTGACCAGCTGGAAAGACAGATGTCCATTGCGAGAAATTCCAGTGCGCCGTCATTTCAGGTTCCATCAACACACAGGACCGAACCCTCGTTTATCCAAGGTCCTGCAAGTCTGCAAGCCGCTGAATGTCGTACGACACGTGTTATTGGTATCAAGAGCATGCTTGATCTCGTACCTAGGTTACACAAGGCTTTGGGTGGCGTAAAATCCAGCTTGCTCAGAACGTATAAGGATGTAAGTAATTTTAACAGGAACTAGGTTAGTTCTACAGTTGGAATGACGAAAAGCAAACAAATTTGTCTATTTTTGAAGACTGTGACGAACCGGGCTTTGTATCCGCTTTACTCTGTGGCGCGCAATAAGTGATACGATGAGAAGAGCATACGAACACTGTGAAAACCACATACCACTTTCTGTTTCTACCAATTTTCTATTTCTGATGCTACGTACTCTCTTCGTTCTTCGGTTGATTACTTTTTTTCAGCGCCTACCGTGCACGAAACGTAAATGCGAACATACTTCAGCTCTCTAGTGCAATAGGGGGGGGGCGAGATGGCCCAAGTGGTTAGAGCGCCAATTTACTGACCGGAAGGTCCGTGGTTTGAACCCGACCTCCGCCACTCGACTTCCCCTGTCTAGGCTTGGGCAACCTGACAGCATCCCAGCCCTCGTGCTTCCTTCGGGTGGCATGGCAGCTAGGCACCGAAAGAGCGCTACAGCTGAACGATTATTATTTTTTTTACTGGTGCAATGTCACTTGCACCGAGGCGTCGTTCTGGTCACAATTCTTCGTCTACCACAATAATAATTTTTTATGGCTGAGATGTTAAAATGTGCCCGTAATTTTGTTTAGAACTGTTTGTTTGTTTCATTTGGCATGGCACTAGGCACCGAAAGAGCGCTACAGCTGAACGATTATTATTTTTTTTACTGGTGCAATGTCACTTGCACCGAGGCGTCGTTCTGGTCACAATTCTTCGTCTACCACAATAATAATTTTTTATGGCTGAGATGTTAAAATGTGCCCGTAATTTTGTTTAGAACTGTTTGTTTGTTTCATTTTCAACATTTGAAAACATGAAGAATTCTTTCTACTTTATAGATCAACGATCTAACGCTTTCAGTATTCAGTGGGGTAAAGCTTACCCATAGCTTCCTTCCTAATTCCCCCTCCGACTTAAAAGTCCACTGACAGATCTGTATTTACGCAACAATTTATCAGCTCATGTCTCGAATCCGCAGCCATGTAAGCCACCTCCCCGAATCATCGGTGGACGGAATTTTATCGGCTACGAGGTTCTTACAGTTGATAATAATGATGATGAAAGTTTACCCCACGCAATTTCAATTCGTTATGTTTTCAGGTCCGTTGACTCATACCATTATGGTTTAGTGACTTCACAGATGATCGATCAATCTGAGGGCTTCATTGATTACCCTGGTAGTAAAATTACCTAAGCACATAATAGTGGGAGCATTGCAGAGCGAGGTTGTCTGAATACATTTCCATGTAACTTGACCGTACATGACCATATCGGCCTGCGTTTCCTTTGTTTTCGTTTACACCATGAACTTCAACCAAATGAAACAAAACAGTGAACGCTAATCGCGCACAGAAACCAATGATATATGTTGTTTTACACGAAGATTCCTTCCACCCCGTTGTCTTCTTGCAGCCAGTCCCACTTGATGCATTACAGTTGATAGTCCCGGTTGATAGTTGCCAGACTGTTTAACGGTCACTGTATTTCATTGTAAGTTGTGTGGGATATTCAATGGAGATTTACACCCTGTAGGAGAAGTTATCCTGCACCAAAATACCCAAAAGCACTGTATACCTATCTCATCTTTATGGGGGTTCATCAATAGTGCGCATCTCAAGAAAATCGAGAGTCCACATAATCGCTGAACGAAAGTAATGACCCGCGATGACGCGCGTTCGCGACTGAATTTTTGTGAGATACTTAATACTGATGGTTCGTAGTTAACCCGAAACAGCTGTACAGTCCGCTGTAGAATGGCTTCATTTACGGAATGAAGTCTCCACCGACACCATATTTGGGCTTGATAGTTGATTGCATGTCCCTCTAATCTACTCTCCGGTATTTTCGGGTCCATGTTTTTTTACCATAAAACACCGTATGTTCAAAAGTTGTGGTCCATCGATGTCTCCGTTGATGAAGGCTTGCATGGGATCAGATTGTTCTCGTCCCGAATGATGCAGGATGAACAAAAACGCACATACTTTTGCTTGTAACTTAAGATAATCATATAGGTTTCAAAAATTACCAGGGTAAGATATACCCTTCTGGCGTCAGAATGGCTTTCAAAACACTGTTTCCGTTAGGCAACAAGTGTAATTTCTTGGATCGCACATTCACTTCCGAACCTCTCTAATAACATTCATGGAAACGCTTAAGCCTGTTTCGTTATATCACTTAAATGAGGTTGCCCATCGTGTCTCCTTATACTCCTTCGCTTTGCAGCTTTTGAGTGATCCAGGGTATGATGCTGTTTTGCGAAAGCTCTGTACAGTGTTACACTCAGACGTCCGCATGAGCAAGGGATTGTTGGCAATGAGGAGTCAGAAGTGCTTTGCCATAAAGGTAAGGGTGAAATTCCCTGCGGGTTAATCGGTCCTTTCAGGAAGGTATCAGCGTTATTCTCGATGTTACTCGAAGGGCTTACTCAGAACAGCTGGACGACGTTACTGGTGAGTACCAAATCTACTGTATTAATTTATTGCTTACTGTGACGATTTTGAATGAAACTTTCAGTGTAAATGCTGGGATAGTCCCTGTTATTTGGTGAGACATTCACTTTGAGGGATATTGGAATAATCCGTCACGACTGCTTGTCCCAAACAGGGAATTTGAAACTAGTAGTATGTCTTCCAGAAAGGACATTGCCGCAAACCGCTAACGCCACTGTAGTTTGTGGTAGATTAGTGATGTATTACGTCTGCTTAGTCATTTTTGCCGACCTGAGTACAGCAAAACTGTTTATTGAGCAAACGCTAAACAAGTAATACTGTCTCAAAAAATGTTGAATCAGCTGACCCGACGAGATTCCAATGCAGGTTACTTCCAATAGTGAACACCTTCCGGAACCCAACTAGATGTCTTTTGGAGTCGCGTACCCCTCAGTATAAAATGTATTTATTAGCATCCTAAACCGTCGGTGTCATTTGCAAACCCATATCCTGTGTCCGGCATCCCAAGTAAAAATGCGGGGGCATGTCGCTGTAGTTGCAGGCTCGAGGTCCGGAGCAAGACAGGCAAGCCCACCATCAGTGCGTACTGCCATCTGTGTCCCTTCTGCAGCCATGGCAACAGATGCATGACCATTGTGACGACTAAGGTCCATAGGGCTTTTCGCCAGTTTTGATTTTAGGGAATAGCTTGATTGATCAGGTTCGGCCCCCGCACAGCGCAGATCGTGGAGTGCGCCGATGTGCCAGACACTGATAATCTGCATGTGTAAACCTTTCTCGAGTTTGCAAAAACTGCACGATTTATACGGCGTCAAAAGGGCATGTGTTCAAAGGCCGATCGGCTGCATAAGTTTGCCGAGCGAAACCTTGAGGCTGAACACCAATCACTAAAGTACCCTACTTGTCTAGCTAATGTAACGCAGGTAAGCTATCCAGTGAGTGACTTGAATAAGTGTGGAAGTAGAGGAACAAATGAAGCAACCCCAGTGAGGCCTCTTGAAATTCTCCTAACATACTACTCTTCCAGAAAATACTGAAGCAAGGGTGCCCGAGGGAAACAAGTACCATAATGTCTCGCATACCTGCCTCGGTAGTGCTCAGAGGAGCGGATGAACACCAAATTATTGAAAAAACCGCGAAGAGGCACACAACATATGGGCGTTTTTGTTTACGAATTTTCTTTATCTTCTATCACCGCACTTGACCGAAAATACTACATATCACTATGAATCGATGGCAGTCGCACTCCTAATGCAGTTTCATCTCCATATTATCTAATCATCTGCTGAAGCTTGAAGAAGCATCAATGTATTTTCTTTTCCACCACAGGTCACATGTAATCACCCGAGAAATACCCGTCTTAACTAATTATCTTGTTGAGAATGCTAGTAGTCTTGACTCAATTAACACATGGTTACCATCGGTAGATTTTCGGGAAAAATTGCACTTTCGTTTATTGTGTTGAGTCTATGTTTGTGTTTTATGTTACGCTATTGTTCAGCGCTTCAAGAATCTTCTAGCTACCTAAATAATGCTTTAGTGTTTGAACTCAGTGTTTTGAAGATAAAGTTTCACGCCTTCAAGAGCAATTTGTGTATTTGTTGACAGATTTCGCTATGCCAGAATTCAGGTTTAGTAGTTTGAAGGAAATTCAAGTTACCTCAAAACAGGTACTATGCGAGTAAACAGTGTGAAAGTCAATTTTATTTAGCCGTGTCAGTCATAGATAAAACTATATCAAAACTAGGCGTATTTAGTAGCTTTCTGCCGTCCTTCTGAAAAGCTGGTGAAGCCGGCTACTGTTGACCGGTTCCGTATGTTTTTAGACGATCCCTGCACTCACCTAATTTGTGGGAGACAACAAAGACTGCCGCACTTAACGTAAAGTGTGATGCTTGTTTATATTTGTTGTTATAAATACCAAACCATTCATTCAAACAGGAATACAGAAAGTAGATACTTAAGCCTTCTGAGGTTGGGTGATGCGTAAAATGGCAGAAATCGACCTGTGCTCTAAGAAGTATTGGCTACCTTAGCTGAGATCATGTCCTTACCCTGATCGAAACCACAGGACTTACATACCAAACTTTGTAAGGTTGCCATTTTGCCTGTTTCCACACTCACTTCCACGCAGCGGAAGTCAGCAGACTGAGTAAAAAGCACGGACTCCCACTTCGAGTGGCCCACAACAAAGTTCGTGGATTTTACATACAGATCCCAGAGGCCGCGCTCACCGGTAATGAAGGGCGAGAAAGCGCACAAAACACATCGGTTTCGTTAGAGGATGACTCTGGGAATCGTGATTTTGGAGATCCGTGGGGTTTGGACGAGATCCCAGTGCACAAAGTAGCTGAGACCGACACATGGGAGAATTCTTCGCAGTCGGAAATTCAGAATCAGACGGACTCAACATCAGCGAGATGCAAGAACTATTCAAGAACGCAGCTTCCCAAAGAATTTATCAAGGTCTGCTATTCGAAGTCACTCATCCACTGTACCACGGAAACTTTGGTAAGTTGGTCAACACAAGCGATTTTTCAAATTAAGTGCAAATAACTTTCAAGTAGTGAACAGTGTGAAATTAATATCCATCGAAATTTCCGTTTCCGGAAAACAATTATTTCGGACGCATATCATCACACTGAGCCAAGAGTGGCCAAATTGGTTTCTTCAAAGAGGGTAGACATTCTGACGTATGTAGTAACTGGTAATGTTAGTCCGTATAAATACAACATGCCTTTGACTGACGAACAGTGAAGGTGGTTCATTATATTGGGAACGTGAAGACAAAGTTCCAAGGAATTGGAGCTCACCGTTGTCACGAACGAGTGAATATTTGTGGTTAGAATCTATTGTAGGAGACTCAATTTGACGCGTCGCTCAGCAGAGGTTTTTCTGTGAATGATATAAAGAAAACCCAATCGAAATGATGACGGTTTGATAAATGAAGGAATAACTCGAACTCACTCGAACTAGTGGCTGATATGCTACGTCGCTCTGTTGTTTCATTCTAATACTGCTCGTAGTGTAGTTCATACCGGATGACTGACCAAACTATTCGCACCAATGTGGCTATTTGGACTCAACCTGAAAACACTCAAGACCAACTATCCTAAAACAGCAGAGCACAGGATGTCTTCCAGTTCGCTCATTAGTACCGGTAACCTTTAACGTGACTGCGCTCGAACCAGACCGTTTCTAGTAAGGCACTTTGTCTAAAGACTCATTAATTCGCGTAACAAAAACTGTAGAAAGTTTAATATTCTTAACGCGTTTAAAGTGTGCCTCACTGTCTAGTTAGTGTTGAGATCGCCTGCAAACCGCCAAAACAACGAGCCGCATTGTCAGGTGATTATAGTTACCACCTCAGAGGTGAAACTAGTCGTATGAATCACGGCTAAGTAGATGAAAATATGCTGTGGCAACGAAACCATTGAGGTGATATAGCTGAGAATGAAAGTTATGGGAAGGAACGTCCTGATCGACCAAGACGACATCTTATCTGCAAGAAGAGCCGACGAAATCGGCAGTTTTGAACTTTTTAAACGCATACAGGGACCCGAATTAACTAAGCGAACCACGACTACACCATGTGAACACCATTGTTTACCTTTTCTGTAATCTCATAAGTACTTCATTCATTTCATTGGATTGGAACTTACCGGAAGCCGGCATGTCATTCATTCCAATTCAGAACAAACTACCTTTTTTCGGTACGCGCGCTGTGCCAAAACGCTATCATACTAATGGATAGAGGCGTTCCTGTAATTGTTGACTGTCACTGGTGTCAGTCCGTATCTTACGTCCTGTATTTACGAACAAAACCGTTTCGTGGTCCACCCAAACCCTCCCCTGCCACAATTGAGTGTTGGCATCGCCCAATTTATTCCACTCTCCCAGTTAATGCCACTGGTGATTCCAGGTATCCGTAGCAGCAACATGAGGAACTGAGTCCGTTCGCACGGCTTCGTTCCGTATTCAGCTTCACCTCAAGAAAGCTCCCCTGTTGGCTCTACCGCGGCACCTCAACAATTCTTTGTCACCATTTTCACTAGTCCATAAAAATTAAAACCACGAGAGCAACACTTTCCTGCTGATTGATTTGAATCGCGGGATGTTGGTTGGTTAATTTATCATATCCAGTAGTGACCCTCTGTAAAAGAATGACTTATTTTTCTACTGTGATTGTTGAAAACCTTTCTGAAAGCAACCTGATTCCCTTCTTTTAACTATGGTGTAGATAGCAAGTGTCTTGCCTACATCACTATACCTAATACTCCTCCAAATGCATGAACAATTAGCCTTGATTATTAGGAGAGTTCACAGTTGGGAACAATAAATCATACAAAAGCTCTGATCCTTAGCTTGATATGGGTCCCTTTGTCTCTGTGTTTGGATGTCTGTAACCCAGAACTGAGAAAAAATCTTGGTAACTGGAGCAAAAAGACAATCCATCAAGTGGGCTTGAATCATGGAAGCTACCGACATCTGGCCCGTTTCTGAAAGTCATGCATGACGCTCACTGATAATAATGACAGACATCGAATACTACCCGTTCAGGTATAAGTATGGCTAATCCTGTATAATTCAGGCTGAGAACAACCATCCCCGGGGGCTAATTTGGTAGAATACCCTTTTGATATGTTGAAAGTCAGTTGTTGGATCCACCTCTATACGTCTCCTTTCACTCATACTATGTATACCTGAGCCCCTAATTTATAGTTTAACGTTATTGTTGACCAGATTACGTCTCGAACGCGGAGAGAGTTAGAAAACGGCAAAAAGGACATCTTCATCTGAATGCTACTTTATCCTAGCCGCATCTTCACTGGGCATCATTATTAAATGAACATTGAGATAGAATCCTAATGTTCATAGTTCTCTCCCATTATACCCATATCATTCATACAAGCTGAGTTATACTTCATTTTTTCGATACTCACACATTGCATCGGTCATGTTCTTCTTGTGTTCAGGTGCGTCTCAACGGTATGTATTGTCCTTCTGTCCATTCAGCAAATTCTGTTTCTCCTAGAAAGAATGAAGGGTTCTCTGAACGAAGTCTACTACATTGCTGATCAGTACGTTGGTCATATACACCTCACATATATCCGCCCTAGAATCATTTGTGACCTTATATCTGAGCTTCACCCAGAAATGGGCTTATTTTATCGACTTTCCGAGGTAGTCGCCGGTCTGGATTTCCTAGCATCATTTGCACGGTTGGCTGTAAGTAGCCCTCCAGGAAGTCCATTTGGTAAGTTCATTTTGGTTTATTGAAGCCTGTTCTGTAACGTCTTGGGTTCACGTAAATTCATCGGAAACAGTAAACAATACAGGAAAATACTGTATAATATACCTTTCAATTACCAGAATAAGTTACTTCAGGAATGTACCGCATTATGATCGAGCAATACCGCGAGCAACGGGAGGACCATCTATAACTGGGAATCGATTCTTATGTTTCGAATTCGACGTCTTGACCTATTCATTCCATATGATATATAATCAAACACCAGCGATATGTTTAGACTGGTGCCGAGAAGTTGGACGCTGTGCCATTCATAAGATCTACGCCGGTGTCGGAGTCCTCGTATATCAAATTCCATATTCTCCATGCTTAGAAAGGTGATCGACATCTACCTATACTTGTGCAATCTAGTTATTCAAAATACTTCATTTTAGCAGACCCAAAAGAAGGGATAGCGAAATCGCGAATCGGAGCAGTAATCAGCTCCATAAAGGAACGAAATTAACTTCGGGGCATAATGGGATAACTGAAGCCAAAAAGTTAATTCAGAATCATATTGGAAAACGATCGTTTAGCTCACTCTCTTCCCAGGGTAACGCTTTCCACCGGTTTTCGTTGGCTGGACCCACCCACTTACAGTGCAGCGATCCGTCGAATGATAGGGTCTGGGGAGAAATGTTCGTGGTCTCCGTAGACTTTTACAAAAATTTAGTTTTGATGGATAGTTGCTGTGTTTCACGTTTCTCACACGTCGCATTTTATGCAAATTCACTGCAAAAATCAGATCAATAATACTAGGGCCCGTTTTCATGATCTGTCTATACAGTCTTCACTGTATTCACCAACTCCTTGTTCATTCTCAACCTAATACATTTGCTGAGTGGGGACCCTTAGCGTATGCTAGTGGATCACAATTTAACTTTTGTTGGTTTCAGTGTATCCCAAATTTATGGACAGGCTTGCAATAAAAAACGGAAGAAACATTGTGCTCGAACGCTTTTCTTCGGGTGCAGTTGTGCCAAACCATACGGTATGTAGAACCACATTCCAACAAAAGTGTTAACGACAATCACTCTCTAGTACGCAGCAACGGATCTGAGCCTGACAATTCTCACTGGCCCAAGTATGGTGAGTTCCCTCAATCGACCGGTCTTTTTAACACGTGGAAGACAAATTTCCACCACCTTGTGTTCTACTGGTTTCCAAATAACTCACCCACCAAAACCAAATTGGCATGCAGATGAGTGCATAGATAGAACATACTACCATGTTCTATATCACCCTCATTCATCAAGCCTTTTGTTGGTGTTTTGGCCTTCCTTTACTAGAGTCACAAACACTTGCACTGTCACAAAAATTGCCAAATAACTTATCGGACCTCTCTCACAACAGTCATGTCTTACTTTGATTCAAATTAATTCATCCTTCGTTGTTCAGTGTGACAAACGGTACTGGGCATACCAAATATTGAAGTAACAAGATGGTTGGACAGTCCGATTGCGAAACACTATATCACAGGTCAATTTATCCGGTAATGATTCACCTCCAGATGTGAGTTTTTACCAAATACGAAAGAATATCGGGGACTAGGCACCCTCTGATGAGTACCAAGAATGGCAAAGTCAGAAGTGAGCTATACAAGGCTTTCGTCGATCCTATGAATATTATATGAAGAAAAAATTCCTTTGATGGCTCGAAAATGGTTCTAGAACCGCAGGGCGTTTTTGTTCAACGTATTCATTAGAACATTATAAACAAGATTTATAAGAATTTTCATTTGTTGCCGATGTTTGAGAGGCTTGTAGGATTCACGTTCACTTCACTCGTTTGAATAATCGTCTCCATGGTCTGGCTCATTTATTCTGATGAGTCCACAGCAGAAGGAGGAAGTATTGGACTAGAATATCGCTCTTATTGGAGCTCATCAGTAGTGCACAATCCGTGGTTGTTTCGGGGTTTGAAGTTCAGATACCTTTCATGTGAGGAAGAGAGCTACAACTAGCTCGCTAGCGCGCGCTGGGCGCATCTAAATTTCCAATTCTTCCAGGCGAATGTGTCCATGCTTCGACGATGTGTGGTCTGCCCGAGTGCTTCAGTGACGACCCAGTAACTGTCCTGGTTGTGTCGATCGCTTGCCCCACCTGACAAGACTTTCTTCGGGTAGTGCGACAGACGCTTGAAATCAGGACACGACGAAAACTGGACCCAGTAATGTCCTGGTTGTGTCGATCGCTTGCCCCACCTGACAAGACTTTCTTCGGGTAGTGCGACAGACGCTTGAAATCAGGACACGACGAAAACTGTTCGAACCAGAATGATATTAATTTTGGTTAGCTGTCCAGTTAAAAACGCTTGTGAACATTAATATCAGCGTGGGCTCACTGCCGTGCAATAGGTACCACACGCGCATAAGACACACACACAAGGAGCGGATCTGACGGGGCGAAAAAACCGCTTGTAGTACACAACGGTGTAAAGTGTTGTAAGTAGGACAAGGCTACGAATAACTAAGCATTAATTTTAGCAGAACTTTAAAAAAACACCTTTCTCTTCTTACGATCAAGCTGAACCAACAATGATCTGAACTCTTTCGTATTTTCCGCTACCACTCCTCTCATCGTCCCGTTTTTTCAGAGTGGCAAATCGGCATACTTACGACAAGTTGCCTACTTTCAGATACTAGCCCAAGTTGGTTCCATGGTTCCTGCAGAATTTGCCACAGTGCGCACAGTTGACCAGATTTTCTACCACACAAGTGGAGCTGACGACCTGCTGTTCAATGAGTCCAGTTTTACTAGAGAGGTGAGTATGAGGCGGGTGCACTGAGCTCTTGTCACAAGTAACAAACACAAACATAAATCGCAAACATATAACTCTTTGGGTGATGTGTTCAGATAATCGAACAATACGAACCCCACGAATATATTGATCTCACTTTCTGAACCAAACTTCACTGTCTAGCACGAAGCGAGTTTTGAACCTGCCTTGCTACTTGCCTCAATCATCGTCGGCTGTAGAGTGACTTCAGTGTTTTCAGTGGGGGACTGAGGGTCGACGAAAACAGCGCATCCGGTGTAGGCGCTAACAAGAATAGATACATACCAATGTAACGTAATGTGATCCCCTAACATTTTCACCCTGAATAGGGTTTGGTAGATAACACTGATTGATATATGCATGGCAAAACCGTTCGTTGTATTGGCAAGAACATACCTTCCGATAGCAAGAACGTTTATAGAGCATCTATCCCTTTAAATAATTTGTTACCAACCAGCTCGTTTACCCTGCAAAACGAAGACACGTGGTAAGTTTATCAGCTATAAAACCCGAAAAAATCGTATTTAGGTAGGTTTGAGAAAACCAGGACCGACTTGCAACAGATACTAGATCGTCAACCTTGATTGAGACAAAGGTCATCAATGTTAACGAACCACGCTTGTCTGACCATCCCAGGCTCCCACTCTAGAGCATAACTAAAGGTAGTCGTCCAGTTTCGTTTCAGGCATTTTTTCCTGTAAACCAGGATAATGATCTACAGCATACTCTAACGAACTTGTATTGATGAAATTGCCTTCCCTTCTTTCCTATTCCCTTGCGGTAGATGAAAGGCATGAGCTACCTTCTTCGCCAGTCTACGAACAAATCATTGGTTCTGATCGATGGCTTGTGTCAAAGTGAGTCGCCTTTATTAAAACATGAATCACAATCCACCTACAATGTGCCCTGCTCGAGTGTTGTATTCTGTTCAATTCTAGGCACGAATCAACGCGAGGCGATCCACCTCATGTGGGCCATCTGTGAAGCGCTGCTGCAGAGCAAGGTAAAACAATATTCGTTCCACTATTGTTGACTTGCAGGCTTTCACATTTTTGGCAACACAGAATAACGAAATCACTCAATTGGCAAAATCTTATCCGAATGTGGAAAAGTAAGTCGCGCTAGCAGTTCTATGGTGGAATAAACGTATCAATCAACTTCGTATGACTCGATAAGCTGGCGATGCAGGTTCGAAGTACTCGCTAAACATATAACAAATATCTGTGAAAATACGCGACGTGATTTAAAGAAGTTTTCTTTTCGTTTGTTGACCGCATCCAACTCCATCATGGAAAGTAAACATGGCGTACAAATGTGTTGACTGAGGCTGAGAAATACAGTTGTCCTCTCGAACGAAAATCGCCTACGATGAACGGCTTGATAGGCCTTAGTTGGGTTTTACCCTGTCCTGAAATGGAAGTGGGGCAAACTATTGACCGTACGAAGCCGCTTCGATAATTCCACTAATACAATGAAGCATCGAAGCCACCTCAGTAATATTGTAGCACCCCGTCAAGACACCGGTGGTATTATAAACTTCTTATAAGGACCAAGAGAATCGTTACCCTGATAAAAGTCAGAACCAATACCCCATTGATTCACCAGTCTACAAACGTCACCTGGACTGCAACTATATTTTGGGTTAGTGGTTTGGTGTGGAAGTCAACGAAACACTGAACATCGAAAAAGTCCTTTAGTTACATCCTTGAAAAATAGGTGTTGGTACGTACTCATTGGTTGATGTCAAGTCTGATGGTGTGGTTACTTCTTCCAAGGTAGAGTATACTCCCTGCAAAAGAACAGCCACTGGGAGGCTACCTTTACGAGGAAACGTTTGGTCGGTCCTTCGGACCTTAATTCTATGGCAAACTCTCTCTATAAAGCGATCTTTTGAGAGAGGGAAGATGCACAATAGGACCATCTTAAAGAGGACTTTTAAAGCAGGTCACTTCTGCTGGATATCTCTAATCCACCTGTGTCGTTTTCATGAATGTGAATGTTGAGATCCGCATGAAGTTGTAGCTATTTTCGTAATCGAGTCTTTAGAAGTGAACTATGTGATCGAAATATAGGCAGATAAGGACTTTCTACACTAGGTTGTATTTAATCTGATCGGTTTCTGCAACTACAAAGAGTTCAGAAGATTAATATTAGCTGTCGCAAACCAGTTGGAGATACCTAATTAGACTCACGAATACACTAGATTGGGAACTTTCGTTTGATTGAACGAAAAAGCAAGAACCTATAACAAGAAATGCTCGCCAAGTAGACGGAGATCGAATCAATAGTTCGGCGCTTACCTCCCAAACAGTTTACCAACTGAGCCACGATGACGCTCCCATATGCACTCCAACTCTATGTAGATTCATCAAAAATTGTCCTGATTGATTTCATCTCAAATAAGTGCACTTCCGTGTCTATTTCCAAATCACTGCAAACCGATGACTTTTGGTCTCTAGATGATAACATTACCTCGCTATTTGTGTCCACGATGAAGCCTAATTAGTGACGTTCATGGTCTGCAATATTTTGACAAACCATTGTTGGACCCAAGTGCACTTATGTAGTGGGCAGCGTTTGAGGCAGTCCACGCAAGTCGGAGTCTCTGGGCTCAGTTCCTACCTCTGGTCTGCATTTTTTATACTTGGCTTTCTATTCGATAAGTACCAAACCTCCATTACTTCTACTGAATACTGATCCCTATGCACTACATCAGTCACATGAGAACAGGAGAGTTCCGAGCACTCAGAGAGCATCTAGCTGAATGACAGGACAAGTAGCATATTGAAGCTAAACCAGATCAATTGTAAATCTATTACGCCACGCACAAGTCCCAGTTTCAACTGATCCAGGGATACTAAGCCCAACCGGAGTGAATTCATCAGACGGCATCATTATGTCTAAATTAGGTATGTTGACTAAACGCTGTCGAAACTGTGCAGACCCAAACTGCCGGACATCAATCATTGCCAACAAAAGCATCCAACCAGTGCGTTGTCAGAGATATACACCTCAAAATTTTGCCTTCATTGAGGACAGCAACCTGCGAAATCACTAACCCAGGAAAGATAGAATCAAGCTTAATTAGGTGCTAAGATATGGGTAGCATTCGAACTGACTTCTACCTGTAGATTATTTGTATTTGAGACATCTAGAAGCACAGTAATTTACTATTCATCGCCCGCAAGTTGTGTTGTTGGGTTCACTTCAATTTAATGCATGGCGCTTTTTATTTCAATGATCGACATATCAACTATGAAATACGGGACCACCTAATTTCTACCATTCTAGTTGTCACTTTCTTGTCCACGTGGAGTCCGTGAAAGGCGGTAACAGAGTAACCGAAGAAACGGACATAAACTGGACAGGATATGATAACACACGTGGCGACGACTCGATCTGTCAGTCTTCAACTGTTGTTGGTGAATTGCCTTTTGGACGTACACGAGAACACAATAACACCTTAGAATCAGATGGCGTACAATTACGGTCTAAAGTAACCTTCACATATAGGCTGGTTAAAGGAGTTGCTGTCAAACAAAAGGGTGAGTTCCTGCAAAAATCAGTGGTTTTTGTCATATGAATCAATACTGTCGCGTCGGCCATCATCTTTTTTCGAAGTGCATAAAATTCAGATATACACTAACATCACAAAAAAGGCAACCCCGAAAATACCGGAATACTCCTGCTTTGTTTAGAAAACGTGATTTCTTCTGCAAAGTCCCTTAAATTCTTTGTCGGATGGAGATGTAATTCAAAACACCAGTATCTACACCTATCAATATTGTGAACCAGAACCATAGAAATCGACTTCTGTCATCTGGGCCTAACCGAACTCGAATAAATCTGCAGATAATTTTAGGATGCACAGTGGAACAAACTATGGTAGCAACTGGAGACTCGAAAATACATGGGCGTTGTGCTCTGATTCATTGACTTTCTCCGTTAAAGTCTTTCTCAAATGTCACAGCGGATACGAGTAATGCCGCTCACTTGATGCAAAGAACACCCAAGAAGAGCCCGATAGCGTTACAAAATAGTGTAGCAGATTGTAGTCAGCCTCCACCATTCTCTTGTTAAATTTTAGTCGATACAAAGGGTCTGCCCACATGTTTTTTATCCATCGAAACAAGTCACGGAGTTTTTTCCCTTTGGGGTGTACTATTGTGGGGATGACAGATAACAGAATTCCGAGCTGTGATCTGGGAGTGTTTCCAATTATATGACACTTACTTCTCGGAAACTTACGGGCTTGTAAGTGGACGATAATCGACATGCTATATCAGCCTGCAGAATAGGTCGCTCCATATAACCCTTTGGAACAGAATAATTTACCAAGTACAGGATAGAAAATTCGAGAATACACTTTCAAAGGACATGATTTTAGAGAAAAATAGAAGTCAACTAGAATAGATTAGCAGGAGCTACCGAGGAGAAATCAACGTTCCATATGGTGATTTGGCACTCCATCTTGACCTTCAGCACTCACTTTTCCATATATCATCATCCTTCCAGAACTGATGTACAGAGTGCCTGGTTTTGATAAACATATTTTTTATTTGGCAAAAGTAGACGTACCTGAGTAGTCATGTACAAGGTATGTCAGAACAGATAAAGTTCAACAAACCCTCATCAACAGCTTACTTCTCCCATTATCCAGGTTTGGCGCTTATGAGCTTGAATGCATTGCCAATCGACGTTTTGAGGCGTGCCGAAGAGCTGATGGAGGAGCTAACTAGCGGAATCTCAAGGGCTCAAAGAAATCAAGAAACAGGTGTATCCCAAACAGTAACATGTATTCCAAAATGCTCAGTGAGTAGTTGGGCTTCCGAACCCATCCATAGGACTGGAACACTAAAAAAGGTGAGTTGCGTTCTCGTGCTTCTTTCAACTGTACTGAAAAACGCTACCGGGTCACTCAAAAAGGTATCTGGCAATGTGTCAGAATATTGGTAGCTCGAGTTCTTTGTGGCTGATCCAGTGATTTTTTAATTTGTCCATTGTGCTTGGCAATTGACTTACAAACGTCTCGTCACCGTTCGGGGAGACATCATTAGTACTCAGCTGGGTAAATAGTTTCTCTATTCGCGCTTGAGCTCGTATAATTCGCAAACAGTATCTTCGAACTTCAAAGTGATCGATTGTTCGTAGTCCACTCCACTCAGCGTCTGATCGACCCGCTTGCGAACTGAGTCGCACGGTTGCCTATCATTCTTGCATTTGACTAGGTAACAGTGAAAATTTTGTCATTGTTTCCTGTTCCGGTTGACCCACTCGTATTCTGTATAGCATTATGATCTACTTTCCTGTTGTTGGATTGTTTGATCGTTTACATTTCATTTTCGATAGTTTTCCGTCTTCATCCTTATTGGCCCAGTATCGACTTGTGATAGGTTTTCTTGGGCCTGGCTAGCTAATTTGCACGAACTCTCTGCAGTGGAACATAAAATTGACGGAAACTCGGGACTGCGCCTACCTGATGAGCCACAAGATATGTGAAACCGGTCGTGGGTTGTCGAAGAATTTTCAGCAACCCTATGAGTATCGTATTGCGTCTATGTTTCGTCCGTTTTTTACTGATTGATCGTTGTCCATTCCTATCCTCCCCGTTCCACACAGTATGAATAGGCCTATACGGTCTCCGGGTGCTCATACACAGTTTCTTAACAGACGCTATCTGTTGTGTCTGCGAGTTTCAGTTTTAGGGTGGTCTGCTAATAAATGGTTTGCTCCTCTTGTCTCATGTTCCATTTGTGGGACATGAGAGTACTTTACGTGACAGTGTCACCTTCATTACTAGTGTGCATTTGGCTAGGTGAAAAATAGCCCATACGAATGGGGTTGATGGACTATCAATGTTCACTTCCAGTGTACGGCCAAAATTAAGATATTGAGGGAAAATACTAGGATGTACATGACGCTGATCCGAACAGACTTGAACGTGAAAACTTCCATCTGTTTGACTTCTGTCATTCCACTTCACCTCCCCAATCACAACAGTAAACGAGAAAAAAGTGCATACTCATACCTAGGAAACTCTGAATCTGTTAAACTGAATAAAGCACTGGGGAGTTAGAACTGATGAGATTGTTTATTTCACAGAAAAGACAAATCTAAACATTTTCAGAACACGTCCTCTCCGTATTTTGCGCAAGTGGATACTGCTTACTTGATGGCCTGCTCAAAAGACCTCGCCATTACTCAACAAACTGGAGTGAAGCTGACGAGAAAACGCACCGTCGGAATGACACGGGATTTCTTTCGGTCAGATAGATGAAAGGTAACGTTTTATCCAAATTCGGACAAATTAGCGAGAGACCGAAATTCGTCGACTTGATCGCTTTACATCAAACTATTTTTCTGCTGTCCAGTGCATAAGGTCGTGGTCTATTATTTCGAAAGGGCTCAGTGGGTACAGCACAAACCTACTGATCGGAAGGTCTGTTGGTCGAATCCGACATCTGCCTTTCGACTTTTCCCTGTCTGAACTTGGGCAACCTGGCCCTCGTACTTCCTTCTGGTGGGATAGCAGTTAGTCACCGAAAGGGTGTTACAGCTAAAAGATTTTTTCATAATTTCAAGGATCCGGTGTTCGAACCTGAAACTAACCACCAGCTCCAACAGAGAAAAAGGGGAAACTTTCAATTTTTACTTCATCCGTCGTTAGTACATAGTGAAAATGTTGGGTCACAATTATATGATTCACTGGACTGTTTCGGTTCATTTTAAAAAAATCTTAGCACATGGACCCAAATTGTTGGACAGAGCCGTCGTTTTTAACGGATAACAGTTCGCCCACCGGAATCAATCGGGTATCGCAGGCAACCAGTAGCACCTGTTTGCGAGAAAACGACCCCAGAAACATGCCCGAAACTACCCTGGATATGACGGATCGCCTCAGATTCCAGTTGTTACGACAAATGTCCATATTGGCAAAACCAATCACTCAACAGTCGAACATCGGTACGCCAAACGATGGGATGCGGCCACACGAGAAGGAACTGTTAATGTATATCCGCTTCTTAAAAAACAGATATCGGGCGGTTATCAAAAATACTCCAAACCCAGAAGAATGACCCTACTTTGTAAAATGGATTACCACAAGTCCGACGGCATCTCCGTTTGTAAAGCACTTTTCTGATCACTTATAATGAAATACAAACATGCAATCTCCTAGACTTTGGGTCATATCTGCAGTGATGTTGATCTTCCATGGCCTGCTAACAAATTTCAAGCAGAATCATCTGCAATCCATTTCCAATCGGTCCTCATGTTCCTAATGCATTCTGAAGCCTCAGGGCTACTGTGAATGGCTGCAATTGAAATCAACACGAATTTAAACAGGTGGCGGAAAACTGGGAGTTGTTTCGCATCTAGTTTACTAACCGGGGATTTAATTTCCTCCTGTCGCAGAGAAAAGATGAATTGTCAGGGTGATCCATTGCATTGTGCAAGTGGATGATCAGAGTCAATGTTCTCCACGGTCGCCTTTAACTTCACTTCTGGGAAATTCTATACACGTTTCCGTTACCAGTGTCCCATTCCAGTGAATCATATCGAAAGCTCGGATGGCAACTTGACAATTAGTGTATACTGGGCAACTATTACGATAATCTCCAAAAACTTGCTGTGAGAAAAATGAATAGCGAAAACATGCAGCAGACCTTCGGTAACGAGCATCGACTGGAACCTTAGGCCAGACACTAACGCAGCAGGTTTTCTGACACACAGGAAGTCAGGACAAGGACTACAGCAGGTCCTGCATTGGTTTTCTTCAACCCCACCGAGCACCGGTCACACTTCCCACGTTCTGCTCAAACATGGAAACAGGAACTTTGCTCACTACTCGCTCAACCGTTTGTAACTACAAAATTAGATGTAAATTAGTTCGTTTAGTCCGAAAGCTGTACTCAGAGCAGTAGAAGTAGCACGTCAACTCGTTATAAGACATTAAGGGTCACTTCTTTTTTCATTTCTGTGTACGTAAGTGGAACCGGCCTTCTCTGACTGTCTTATAAGGTGGAAATTTGCCGACAGTGATGTGATTAACTGTGATACATCACAAAGCACTTCGGTTCAAGCACAACGAATCAAAATATCAGACTAGAAGACCGGATTTTTTGCGATGTCACTCGCATCACCAGGAACAAGTGTGATCATGCTAAGCCAAAGTAAGCAGCCAATAAGCATGAAAAGATGACCGATTCGAACAGCACCGAATCTACGTTACCGCTGAAAACGACCCAGGTATTTTAGAAGAGACACAGTCGAAGACACAGGACAGTCTGAACCAGCACAACATCGGAGTTGCATGTCGAGCCACAAACCCCGTGCTAAGAACCCTCGTCACGGACTAATTAGAGCGCACTTATTTGTGCAAGCAGCGGTCCGATGAAAGGAGTGCTAGCGTGAAGCAGCCTAGTGCGCTTTCCGAAATCTCAACCGACCACTTAACCACTGGTGAAGTCTGAGAGAGGGAAAAAGAAGTTGCCCTTAGTGTCTTAGTACGAGTTGACGTACTACTTCTACGGCTACTTTATTCGTTCTGAATACAACTGCCGAACAAGACGGACTAATTGATGTGAAGGACGTGGGTGAAGAGTTTTCCATAGAAAGTTAATTCTGAAGATCCATCTGACGAAAAATGCTTCTACATATCGAACAATCCATACTTGAAATTATGTGAACCAGTTGACCTGGCATGTCATCCGAAAAAAGTCCTCGCCACGAACGAAAGCCTATTCATATCATGACACAACTCTAATTTGTAGCCAATTTTAAGGGGGCCACAGTTTGTGGCTACCGTAAACGGCTTTTCCCAGCTGAAACATTGAAGTGCCGAATTCCTGATTATTTAGAATGAGCTACTTGGACCAGATAAAGACCGGTAAAAGTGGTTTGGGAGCATATCAAAGTCATCGCGAAAGCTCCAGCGAATATCTGAAATATACGCAAAAGAAATATAGTAAATAGCTATCTTAGTTAGCTCACTGAGCGGTAAAACAATCACAATTCGTTCAATAGGCATTTCAAACTCGTTTTTCGCGTCAGGTTGGCTTGTAGCTACCACAACGGATCGGAATTTTTAGGGTCTCATGTTAAGCCTAATGGTAAGCCAGCTATATATTCGTTTCGGTACTCTCCGAAGGTCATAAACTGATGCAGACGCGGAGTTATTGGAATAGAAACTCGTCGGAGTGTGGTGAGACTGGGTTATGGCCGGTATATGTTATGCGGACAATGTTGCTCTCCTTGGTTCGGATCATTCAAAGACGCAAGTCACGTAAAATAACTTGAATGATTCTGCCGCAAAAAGTCGGTATGCGCTTCACATCTGTAAACTGTACAGGGCTGCTACAAGACTGGGTGGGATCGAACCCAAACCTCACACTTGCTGGTGAGCCCATCGACGTGGTAGATAAGTTTGTTTGCCTAAGCAGTTGTATAAGTTCCGATGAACTTACTGGAAATGAGATTACTTCTCAAATCAGCAAAGGTTGGGCAGCTTTTGCCAACCTCCGGCGCCGACGTAACGTCAGTCTGTCTGTCAAGGACCTCTAAGAGCAAGGATAAACGAGAGCAGTCAGTACTCGGTCACCGGTGTCTCCGAAATATCGGCCACGTCTGGTGGAAACATCGGATTAGCAATGCTGACATGCCAGATGAATTTAGGAAAAAAGAACTCTCCCGCGATGGGTCTGTTATGCTGCCAAAAGATAATCTGCTTAGCATTTTTTCACCAAGCCTTTGGCTGAATGGAAGCAACCGAGAGGTGGGCAGTGCATGACTTGGCAACGAATCACGAAAACATTTACCAGCATCTCAGTCGGATCGGCGACTGCCACCTTCCTAGATGAGGACTTCGGCCGTCAACTCGCCAGTGGTTAATGACACCAGCAGACAAGGCTCAATCAAGCAGTCAGTGACGCTCCTGCATCGCCTTCAATGCGTAGCTACCCAGTTTCCCTAACTAACTGATTATGTCATCGCCTCCAACGCTTGGCTAAATCTCGTGACCCTCCGCATCGCCTTCAATGCGTAGCTACCCAGTTTCCCTAACTAACTGATTATGTCATCGCCTCCAACGCTTGGCTAAATCTCCCTTGCTATCCCATTCTCCGGTAACTGAAACTTTAGCAACTACAACCAAAATACCCTTGGTACATGATTTACAGCTGATAAACTGAACTAGCTGACTGATATCATTATACACCGAAGAATGGACCCGAAAATAGTCATCCTTTCCTGAACCGAAAACTGTTTGGGACAGTTGGTGATAGTTATCGACCAAGGCGGTGATGCGCTGGCTGTTGCAAAAGGTATCTTTGTTGATCAGAACGTTTCGCTTTTTTGTTGCTCGCCTCGCCTAGAATTGTATCAATCAACACCATATCATCCGAAGCACTTTTTTAAAGAGCCATGACAATATGCACTCCGCTCAACGTCATAAAGAGTGCTAGCCACACTCGAGCGTAAATGTGACCATGTAAAGATAAGGAGTTGTCATTGATATTTGATCGAGAGTGATTTGAGGTAGCTACTTCAACTTATTACAGTTCTCCTACAGGTTTATGCATCTTACCAGAAAAGGTTGCAAATTGGTCAGCGTTTTCAAGAGCTTTCAACACTTGGGCGTTTGCATCCACGTACCTAGAATTAAACAAATCCTCATATCTCGAGAGGTCAAATTATACCTTCGAGCTCGATAGTTAAGTGGTTAAGGCGCGAACTTACTGATCGACAGGTCCATAGTTCGAATTCAACCCTGGAACCTTAATCGCTACTGACCAGCTTTGGGCAACCAGCCCTTGTGCTTCCTTCGAATGGTATAGCAGGTGGGGACCGAAAGCCGTTTCAGCCCAACCAGTATTCTTATTATTCGTGTTGCTAACAGTGTCGGGTGCAAAAACGCCAGGAACCACAATCCCACTTCAATTCGTCCAGATTATGTTACTCCTCGAGATAGCTCAGCGGTTATGATGTGACGATGTTAATTGGATGCCCGTGGTTCGAACTCAACCTGGATCTTTCGACTGCTCGTGTAAAGAATCTGAGAATCCAGCCGTCATGCCTCTTTCACAATGCACGGCAGCCATGCATCAGAGGGGTATCGAGCTGAACGAATGTTACTGCTCACGATTAATGTACAACCGGCATCGTCAGGGTCTAGCATGTTATTCAATCTAAAAGCCACTCAACTTCCCGGTGTACATATCAAAAATTGGCACTTCTAGGATGCCGCAGAAGCAGAAGTTCGGATTTTTGTTCCCCTTGCAGTTGCTACCTTGGGATCTTGAACTCCTTTTCTCTCTCTAAATGCTTACCCAAGTTCCGAACTCAGGTTCAAGCATTCCCCCCCCCATAACTTCCACCACAGTCCATCCTGCGGTTCCAAACTGTTTCTTGCCACCTGCCACTTCAGCAAGGTTTGACTGTCGGTGTCTACCATATCTGAACGTTTCTACCCACCCACCCCCGTCCGGATGGTATCGTTCTGCTGTAATACCCTTCCGGTGCCTAGCTGCCATGTCACCTGAAGGAAGCACGAGGGTTGGGATACTGCCAGGTTTCCCAAGCCTAGACAGGGGAAGTCGAGAGGCAGAGGTCAGTTAAGGACCCTCCAGTCGGTAAATTCACGCACTAATCAATTCAGCCATCCCGCCCCCGGATGGCATTCTTTAGACAGGTTCCGCATCTATCCTCCGAATCTCGCCCCAATGTTATTTCGTCCCTACCGTCTTCACATCTAACGGTGCAATTCCACCTGTTTGGAAAATGTTCCAATGTGCGCCTTGTTTCGAAAGGACTACCACCTCGCCTATATCATCCCTAGTTCTTCCAACGTTATGGAGTAAAGTTGAACCAAGTAAATGCGAGATGACTCAGTGGTAAGAGGGCGAATTTATTGGCCAGAAGGTCCGTGGTTCAAACCCGACCTCTCCTATCTACTCTTGGGCAACCTGGCAGTATCAAAACCCTCGTGCCTCCATCGGGTGGCATGGTAGCTAGGAACCGAAAAGATGGTACGGCTGAACTGCTGAAAAAAGATGCATGACATAGAAAATAGCCTCCTAAGCGGTCACTAATGAGTCCAGACACAACCACACTACTAGTGGTGATCTGCTGGCTCTGGACTTGTTTGGTATCAGTACATTTTGATACCTGGAAGGCCTTCGGTCGAC